ATAATTTTGCAAAAGATTGCAAAATAAATCAAATAAATGCAAATACGAGATGCACTTCATGAAATTACATTCGGAACGGACGAAATCGACACAGTTAAAAGCATCGATGATTAGATAAAAGAACCGGGAACGGATATTCGAGGCAGCGGTTGACCTTTTATAATTACTTTCATCCATCAAGACAAACACTCATAAACCGAATGCAAGGACCTGGACATCTCGCGAGTCGCTACGTTGGCAAACGTCGGCAAAACTTGTTATCGAAGCGATAACGATTGCTAACGCTATCTTGTTAAAGAACTTAACAGATTTACCGAAAAAAAGACGATTATGAGAATATTTTACCGCTATCGAGCTATTGAAAGGAAAATAAAGCGCGTTCATGGATGAGATAAAAGTGTTATCTCATCCATGGCGCGTTTGATATTTAGGGTTCAATGCAAAAATTCCAGGCAAGGTCGCTGGTCCTGTATCGCATTTGACGTAACTTAAATCCCATTAAATATTCGAAATTGCATTGCAGCAAACCATGCTGTTCTCCGCTTTCTTCGGTTCACCTATTTGACCACAGATATTTAATGGAGCATAGGCTTCATTTTATCAACCTATAAAAATGATTCACCCTCAAAACAAACACATCATTAAAAAGTCGAAACTTCAATACCGAACTACCAGCAAAATTGACGCAGGGCAGGTGTCCATCGATATCTTGCCCGTCCGTCCGCCGAAACTAGACAACTTTCAGACCCACAATCTACACCTCCTTCTGCAGTGTCAGACGCGACGTGAAGCGGCAACTCCAACTCGGTCTGCGCCAGGCCATGTTCCTATTTACTGTGTGTGTTAGTGTTTTGTGCCCGTATATTGGTCTGAGTGACTTACACATATTGGCATAAAGTATAAACAACAAAACAGTCACCTAGGCATTAGGGCAGACGGGTCCAGCTTCACGGCATTTTATTTTTCCGCGAGAGCAAATTATACCTACTTAAATATTTCCTTCTTTTTCTGTCTGACCCTAAGGGCTTGTGTATCTTGCTTGATATGGCTACTGACAGAAAAACAAAGCAACTACCTACATACGTTATTGCCTGAATCATATGTCCTCTAAACTGCTCGTACATGCATGGTCGACTGTTAGGTAAGCTATTATTAGGATGTGGAAACACATTCTAAGACTAAAAAAGCTGTTTCGCCAGTCACAGGCTTGCTCAATGAAGGACCTCAGCTGAGATGATAATGCGATCCTACTGGTTTGCAGTACGACTAACTAGTTCATCCTGTTAACTCTGCAGCTTTATAAAACGTCTCGCCACCGAGCCGGGTCCCCAGTCTTCACCATAAGTGCCATACGGCCAGCATCACTACTATACAGGACAGCATGACACCGGTAAGTTACAATCGAGCGTGGCCGTAACCGCATACCTCATAAGCAAAACGATTTGTGGAGCGAAATACCAACACAGAAGAGGTTCGGAATAATTAGGAAGTCGAGATATCAGTTGCAATTGAACTAAAGTGCATCCGGCTGTGTTCCAGGCGGTGTTCCTGGCTGTTTTGAGCGTGGCTTCGACTTCAGCCACCGCTCAATTCACCCAGGACAACGTGGCCGCCCCAGTGCCGGCGATTCGCATACTGAGCCAGAAGTTTCAGATGGACCAAAGAGGCAACTACCTGTACGCCTACAAACAGAGCAACGGCCAGATTGTGAGGGAGGTCGGCAGGGTGCAGAGAGGCCCTCAGAAGGCCACAGGCTCGCTCACCCAGCAGGGCGAGTTTCAGTTTGTCGGGGACGACGGACAAACCTACCAGCTATCCTACACGGCCGACGAGGGCGGCTTCCAGCCGCAGGCGTCCCACCTGCCCGTGGCGCCGGCTCAGATTCCAGAGTATGATCTGCTGAGGCAGCAGCACCCCGCGCTGTTCTGGGCCGAACGGTTGTGAACGGAGGAGGATTATCAAAGGTCGATGTTGTGAATCATGTGATGGTGAATGATGTTGATGTTTTTGTTTGAGTATTAGTTGAATGTTCTTCTTTTGTTTTAGCCGCTGTTTTGAGCAGGAGACTATCTTCGTTTGTATATGTATAGGTATGCATTTCGAAGGAATCATAAATCCAATGCAAAGGAAAACACTCATTTAAAACGAGGTAAACGTCCATGGTCACGCTAAAATAACAAAGACGCTGCCAAATGAAGATGCATGGCTATCCTGTAGTTATACCATGGGGCCGAAAAAAAAAATTGGCAACACCATGCAAGAAATGTGAACTTGCGAAGGAAAAAAGTGAAACGTATCAGCGAGAACACGCAGAACACCAAGAATCTCGCAGCCACTTAAATACTGGTGAATTTGCGCCGACGTTTTTTTTAGGTTTAAAAGAGGTTATCAAGGGCTCATATCATACTTAAAGTTTTCGCAACAGTTGCCTCGCTTCGATTATTTCTCAATGACCTATAGATGATAAGCGCGATATCATCATACCGCTATAAGCGCCCGTATAGTGTCCGCGTGTCTATAAAAAAGGTGCGTATGACAGCGCCTGTCGGGTCACGTGGCGCCGGGCGTGAGACGATACATCTCTCGCGGGGACATTTCTGCACAGATCCGACATTTCTGCAGAGCAATGCCGTCAGAGCACCGGCGCAGGCAGTATTCAGGGTCAGTCCGGACGGCGTCTGGACCTCTGCCGAGAACTGGATCTCACTCCTGGCAGCCGGACGGCCGGCGAGAGATGGCCTCACCCGTCCTCGCAGTTTTATCCGACTAACCGGCCAGGCACGCGTTGATCACGTGTCTGCTGCATACATGTATATTTTACATACTACAGAGCGTGACACTACGGGCCTGACCATTTATGAATGGAAGCTGTTAGCTAATACAATAGCCGGGACATTAGCGCACGGAAGCACGGGGGCCACGACGCCACGTTACATGTGCACTGAAGGACTTAACCTTGCACTCAGCACACGCTGGACCTCCGCTCGACAAATTCGCTGACATTGAGGCGGTAACCCCCGGAGCGCTGCCCTGATGGCCATGGATGAAGATCGCGACTCGTCCGAGCGCCTCAGCTGAGCCCAGACAGTCCGGGCAGTAAGCCATCAACGCCGCGTCCATCTCAAGCTGGAAATCGTGTATTTAATTCTCGCCCGGTGGGTGCACGCGCAGCTGCTCGTCCCAGAAAACCGGGAAACTAACCCCCCCCCCCCCCCCCCACCACCACCACCACCACAAACCTAGCCGCTTTTTTCGGATGTCATTTTAGGAGGAAGCTTTGGATGGCAGCCGAAACAAAAGACAGGCTTCCTTGAAGTTTTGAAAAAATCGCTAAAACTCGCGCCGCGACGCAATGCGTTTCATCTCTAATCTCCGTTGAGCGAGTAGCCAGGCTTCCCAGGTTAATCGGCGACGTCGCGGTGTTCCGATGGAAATATCTCGAGGTAACTCGAGGTAGATGAGGGTGTGGATTTTCAGATCCCATACTAACTTTGTTCCCGTGTCAAGAAGCGACAAACGGTAAACGACCTTTAATGGTAGTTCAAGTCAAGGGTAAAATCTCCGAAGGTCATCGAAGACGACATTCCTCACTTATGACACTGTTTGCCAAATTGGCCTATAGATAGGCAATAAACTAAAGAAGTTGAATAAATAAATGTTTTATGATGTGGCATAAAAGGTACTTTAATATATATTGAGGGCCCCATTCCAAGCATGGTAGTGATCTTAACGCCATAGATTGAGATAAAGTACTGGTAATTGGGAAACGCAGCTTGCATGATAATATCCCAGCGGTCCTGACTTTCCGCTATTGTTGCTTCACAGGGTCATCCGATTACACGGTTTAAATGGCTCGTACCGGTGCTTCAGTGTTTTTGAGGCTACATCGTCTGCCTATTAATCGCAGCACCCGTTCTACAGCAGCGGTCTGAGATTCTGACCGCACTGTACCATGTTTACCTATAAGTAAAGTGGAGTTGAATTTGCGGTGTAAGATGATCTGATCATCTAATAGCAACACCTCTTTAGCGCCCTGAGCAACACCTTTCAATCGGAAAATTCCAGGCTATCGGGAGGATTTATATGCCACAGATAGGCGTCTCCAGTGCCCATAAGGCCGACTCCCAGTCATCTCACTCAATCACTTCGACTTCCAATATGAGGGCTAGAATCAACCACGTCGAGAAAACGCTGAAGTTAATAAACACGTTTGAAAATCGAGGTATAAGCGCACAACTTGTAATTTTAACAAAAAAAGCAGGGAATCGTTGTTATTGGAAAAAAATTGATTCCGCAATGTCCAAAATTCAGGGAAGGCAGCTTTAATAAGCTGGCATTGGAATGTATGTGGTGAATTATTGCAGCAAACGACAGCCAAATGAGACTGATGCTTGGAGTTGGATTCGACTTCAACGGAAATATTTCGAAAGCTATTTACAGTTTAAAGTAGAATAAATACTTAATAATCATAAATAAAATAGCATCAAGCGTCGTAAAAACGCGTCGCGACTTCTACAGTGATCAACCGATGATAGCTGACTGCAATACCACCCAGCTATTGAGTGTGTTGTTTGCCAACTAGCGCGACCCGATCACAAATCCCCGTCACTGATGACCGACAGGTTTCACAACAAACCTCTGACGATACCAACCGATTCGCAGTCCACTCAACCACAGACACGGCTGCCGATAAATCATCACACCGCAAAGTTGCACACTCCGACGACAGTGAATCGACAAGTGTGGTTACGCACAATGTTGCAATTAAACACACCTACAGCTAATGAAAATATTTGAACTAGGCATGTACCACATTCCAAAGGTGAGGTAGTTATGCATGCCATCACAATGCAGACACGATTTCACGCAGCATCGAATGCAGCTCCCCATACAAATCCTAATACTAAGTCAGCATCAACAGGGGTCCACTGTCGCCTCCCCCTTCCCACACGCAGTCTGCACCCCCTCCCCCTCCATGCACACCGGCCCCCTGGACTGACCTTGTCTCCTGGAGCGGTGCGGAGCCCTCTTGGTGACATCTGTGCCGATCAGGACCGGTGCCGAGGGGTGCGTGTGCGCACTCACAGCGCCCTCCGAGGACGAGATGTCGTAACTCATACTCAGCTGAATTGGCTGCGTGAAGTCCGGACTCTCAGACTGTTTGATGGAGAAGAGAAGGGGTCAGATGAAGGGAGAGAGCTTGAGGAGATAGAAATACCAGCTACGAGGGAAATTAGAGATTGTGATTAGCTTTGTTTCAAAAGAACGGCTCCAAGCAGCAAAGCTCTGCGGGCTTGACAATACATGTCGAAAGGTATGTGCCAATGCATGACATAAATCAAAGACGGTCACTACTGAAAGAGAAACACCTTCAACGCTACACTCCATAATGGACACACTGCCAACTGCCACCGGTTTACGTAACAATGATATCGCCAAACCGCACGCTAAGAGCATTAAATCGGGCCCCGGGTAACGATTGGCACAGCATTCTCTCATCCCGCAGGTTTCGATAACATCAAACGGCCAAAAATGATGAAAATTGGGTATATTATAAAGTATAAACAGCACGCCATGAGGCTCTATACGCCCGGCCTTTCCACAGAGCAAAGCAGTCACGAACGTTCATTTGTTCGTGGAAGCCCTGCCTATATGAAGGACTTAATATTCCAAATTTGGACTTAGAGTATAACCTACGCCTAGCTCATCCCCGCATTCATTCAAACATCTCCCAAATCCGGCATTGCATGAAATATAGCGTTGGTCATATGCATGAATACGATAGATGATCCACCAGAATCAAAATTAGCAGAATCATAGATAACATGATTCATGTTATCTATGGCAGAATGAATATCAAGAAAAAATAACCCAGGTTTTGACGTTTGATATCCTCAGGAAAAATATTCGCACGCAACAGAAAATAAACAAGTTCTTCTGAAACGAAAGTGGGAGTAGCCTGTGCCACCTGTAACCTGCGTCTCCCCTTCCCCTAACCACCTTGATAAGCACGGTGAAGTCGTCGCAGGTGTAGGCCTCGAAGCTGAGCTGCCGCTCATAGGTGAAGTTGTCCCGCTGCTCGCCCTGTACGTCAAACACGCAGATCACGTGCCGAGACTCGATCTTCATCTGAATGGTCGCCGCTGAGGAAGGAGAGAGAAGCAGACGGGTGCACTGAGTACAGTCTATTGACAATAGGCGGGCGGTCACATTAAGCGCGACAAAAAGTCAATTTGAAGACCTCACAAAACGATATGAAAGAACGATGCATTAAAAAAATACTCGAGATAGCTTTCTGGCAATGTGGACTGAGCGTTTCAACGAGCCAAAAATTGGGGAATGTTTACAGCGCAGCACATCCTGGTCGATGCCCTATTTTCATTGCCCTATGTTGATTGCTTTCAACATAGATACATGGGTTGAGAAACATAGGTTTTTACCATAAAAACACAGCATATTAGGTTGACGAATAAGAATTCAGAGTATTCCAAGTGCATTTTCAAGGTACCCTGAAGTTATAATTTCCGCGGATTTTCACGTCGTAATGTAGCTTTTCAATCGGTACGGGGGTTTATCTAATAGCTCTGTGCAATTTAGCTGCTATCTCCTGCCACCGAATTGTCACCATTTTTGTGCGACGCATTGATGTCCGGGCGCCCCGAGCCGCGTGGGCGGCGCTATGAGAAGTGCGAGTCATGCCTGTGACCCGACAGTTGGTTTTATGCCGGTTATTGGATTGGCTCGTTTGTTGACATGTCATATGACATCGCTGAACTCACGAATAACGATTAAATTCATTCAATTTCCGGCACAAAGAGTCATCAGCTTTATGTGTATTTCCTCCCCTGCAATCCATTGACGCTTCGGTGTAAGTAAGTTCAAGCTGTACCTTTCGGCACCTGCCACATTTTCAGGTTACGGTCGAATATATGACATCATAAATGTAGTGTCAAGCTCTGCAATGTCCAAGTATGCTGCAACTTTGCAACGCTCTCTTACAGCAAAACTGACGTTTAGTTAAACCGCTCAGAATCATCTGACATTTAAGTGATCCAGTAAAGCGCATTATCGTCATGTAAACCATACGCGGTCTTGTACCGGTAGAGCGTCTTACAGCAGAAAAAGGCTGCTTACAACCCAAACACCGCAACTGGACACTGGTTAGTTATTGTCTACAGAAAAGCAGTCGTTAGCAAGCCCGTCGTACGACAGCCAGGCATTACAGCAGCCGGCAGTGCCAGTCGCCAACGATGGCATTTCGGCAGCGACCTAGCGTAATTTCAGGCATTTTTGGCAACCCGTAAGCGGCGAACAGATGAGGTATGACGGATGTTTTCATAGGTATAACTAGCATAAAATGCAGACTGCAGAAACGCACAGTCCACACCAGGGTAAAGGCAAAGCATATTAAAAAATCAAGATTGGTGCGATGGAACCCTGAACTAAAAAAAAAATGCTCATGTCGGCTGACAGATTAGACTTGTGCTCGCAAAATCACCCGTATTGAAGACATGCTGATTGTTGAGCCGTCTCAGAACAGTGACAGTTGCACATATATCTACAATAGCTTCCTGCTGTGTAAATTGTGAGCAAAGGAAGTACAATTTGTGTGGCAGTGAGCTAAGTATTCACGAAAGAAGTATTCAAGGATAAAGAGTGAACAATGAAATGCCAATATGAGAAAAACTGCAACTTTCTGAGCCATAAAACACATGTGAACGGCCGCAAATCAATATTAGCCGTTTAGACCGCATATGAACGGCGAGGCACCAGATCAATCTACGCATCAACAAATATAGAACCTACCTACAGTAGTGACTCAATCGTAATAAATCGGTACTTATGAGGGCGGTAATAGGTTGATCGCGCTATCCTATCATAATGTGTTTCAAGGTATACACAAAGCGAAACAAAGCCCAAAGGCATTGATTTCATGAGCTAGTGGTTCAAGAAAAGTCTCGAGCCCCCTACCCCTCCAACACCCTCATCCGCTATCAAGTGAGTACTTACGTATCGTGTTAGGCAGGTGTCTGCCGAAGTACTTGATGCAGGCGCGGACCTCAAACTGTTTATCGGTGGGCTGCAGTTTGTCCGTGCTGGGACTGAGGTGAGCGTGGAACCGGAGAACGGGCTGAGCGCGCAGCAGCACCGCCTCGCCGCTCAGGTAAGAGCCCACCGCCACGTCTGGGGAGGAGGGGTTGTCATTGCCTGGTGCAAGGGTCGGTCAGATATGAGGAAGGGTTGCTCAGTTCCGGAGAGGCAGGTCAGTGCGAGCGAGGGGGTCAGTCAGGCTGAGGGTGTTTGGTCAACGTTCAGGAAACGATTAACAGTAGACACGGACAATCGACTTAAGCGGCCCGGATGCAGCAGTGGAAAAGTATGATGCTGATAAGAGTCACTTCACATCGTAGTCAAGTCGGGTAAGCCCACAATAGACCCACTTGTCAGATACCATTCAAGCTCGCTTCACACTTCCCTTGAGAGCCGCATCCGGCATCACACGCACCTGCATATTTGTTGTCGTCAACATCCAGGCCATGTGATATGCTGATTCCGAACCCTCGCAGCGCCGGGCTCAGCTCTGAAGCCAGCAGCTTCTGACTGTACTCCGGGTTCAGACCCGTAGCGCCACCCAGGTAGATGTAGATGGCGCCTCGCTGATTCTCCTCGTAGGGGGCGCCCACGGCGATATCTGAAGTGGAGAAAGGAGGGCGATGAGGATTGAGGGCGTCTGATCGAAAATGGCAAAAGCTCAGTTTCGAACAAACAAACCAGAGATGCGGTTGAACGCAATAAGTCAAAGCTTAAAAAATGATTGATATGGATCGATTAAAAACATGCTGATATTTCTACCCCAAGGAAAATAATGAGGGCTGAACTCAGTAACAATCGAAAGTGCGTCTCTCCAGGCCCTTCACTCACCGTTATACCCGTCCATGTCCAGATCTCCGACGCTGGCCACGGCCGAGCCAAAGCGTCCCCTAATGACCCTATCTCCGGTGAGCACCAGGGGCTGTTCGCTCAGCTGACCGACGCCCAGGTTCTGGTAGACACACACCCTGCCCTCCTCGAGGCCGGTGGGTGCCGCGTCCAGCGCCGGCTGCTGCGAGTGTAGCGGCGCGCCGACCAGCAGCTCGGGCCGGCCGTCCCCGGACACGTCCAGTCCGAGTACCACGCCGCCGAAATAGCTGCCCACCTGGGAGCCCGTGCGTGAGAGCACCACCTCCATCCCAGTCAGGTCGTTCGGAGGAAAGTCGAAAATGTATACCTGGAAGAGAGGGAGAGGAGGTTAAATGGACAGTTTTAACTACCATGGGGAGGAAAAGGACATGGCTGACGTAACAGTTACCTAATCAGGCGATAAAACAAATGCCGATGAGAGCATTGATGCGTAATTTTACTATGCAGCACACACAAATCACAAGCGTAAATACGACACATCATCCAAGCAATGGATGGGACAAAAGTGGCCATCAACTAACGTAAATAAGATCATCAGACGTCAATCAATAATCAACTGCCGGGCTGCGCATCATTAATACCTAATTGTGATTCGCTTCCTCTAATTACTTGACTTGTTTTTGTTTTGTTTTGTTGGGTTAGGCCCTTTCGGTCGACAAGACCATTGCAGAGCCGGAAGGATGATAGGATTTAGGGGGAGACATTGGTCTGGGCAGGCACCCTAGTGAGTCGCCGGGGCTGAGCCCGTAATTACTTGACTAATGAATATCGAGCTCACTCAGGCGAGGACGATCTCCATTCCCAGTTTCAGTATCTTAGTCATGTAAGTGATATAGGACAGCCACCAGAGGGCGCCTCCCGCAGCCACCCGCAGCTGCTCGAGACAGCATATTTACGTCTGGACAACGAGTTGCGTTGGAGAGGCCGGAAATAGTGGCGATTTCAGGACCGCAAGAATGGACCGTCATTGGAATGATTCTTTTTTAAACCGTGCACTGTTTTCGGCCGGAATTTAATAGTTACTACAAAATATTTTGTAATTACGTTTCCACCAAGAACGAATGCCATCAGGGCTAAATTTTTAATACTATTGCATTTTGTCAAGAAGCATATAGTGCTGTTATATTGCAGTTTTAGCGCGTTTGTTACAAAATATGAAGCGAATAATAAGCGTCAGTGTAATTCATCAAGTGAACTTGAGGGAAAGCTATGCTAATTGCTCTTGTCCATCCACTAAAATTTATTAAATATTTTGCTTTGTGTATTCCAAAAGGAGAGGGAACTATTTCATTTGTGCCTTCATGTCAGAATTGAAGGTGGATCATTAAATTTTCAACGCAGTTTACAAACAAGTATTTGGTCTTTCTCGTTTATAAGCAGTGGCTAAGAAAAGGTTGATCAATCCTGAAGTTCATTCATCGTACCTCAACTTGACAGCAAGATCCCCCAAGGACAAAGGATATATTGTATACATGTCCTGTAAATCAAAACAAACAAGCATTTGGTCTTTCTCGTATATAAGCAGTGGCTAAGAAAAGGTTGATCAATCCTGAAGTTCAGTCATCATACCTCAACTTGGCAGCAAGATCCCCCTAGGACAGAGGATATATTGTAAACCTGTCCTGTTAATCAAAACATTTTGTGCCTTCAAAGGCAATTAAGTTATCTGTGGTGTGTTCGGAGTTAGGCTATATGGCCGTTTTTGTTGTATGTTTATGTGGAGATTGAATATAACTGTGACCCTGTGCTTGTTTGTATACTTACGGTCAAACAGGGAACAGCACATTCACATAACATACTCTACTCACCTAGCACCTAACTCTGACTCATAGCTGTACCCTGCAGGATCTGTACTTGTTCATGTCTCGAGCATTAACAAAGCACTAAAGTAGCTTAGTAATCATTTCCCACATTTTCTGAGCATCTAACATGACATACAGCAGTGTAGAGCAGCTTCAGAGAAGAAACACTTTAAATGCACAGACTCACACCAGCCACCCAATGAGCCAGTTCCTCAGTTGACTGTTTCCCTGGACACATGGCTTGGCAATGTGAGCTAACTTTTGGCAAGTTTAAGGTTAGCAGGTAAGATTGAGTTAGGGTGAGTACCTACCTATAACTGGGTGCTACTGCCATGCAGGTCTTGGGTAGGATGCAAATATGTGTGATGATTGAGGTTAGGTCAGCCGTCAGGTTAGTCAGGTTCAGGTATGCTCATTGCTCAGGTCACATTTTTATGGACATTTGGCAAATTAAAAAACTAACAATCTGATCTAAGCTAACCCGACTAAACATACACAACTACTGACTATAGGAACTGAGCACCTACCTACTTGTGCCTACATCTCATACCATGTCAAAGTAGAGTTCCTTGGTGGAAGAAGATTACCCTCAGTACTTTTTATCCCAGCCCTGTGAAGAAAACTAATACTTCTAAGTTCTAAGCTCTGAGTCACTGCTGGCCATCCACAGGAAGAAACGCTGAGACTGAGAGCTTTGCCATTGTATATTGGACCAATAATGACTATCACGAATGACTATGAACACATAATATGATCACATCATTGCATGGATTGTCACATTGACAATTTTACTACAATCCTTTTTTAAAGAAATACAGTGATGATGATTAACATCAAAATCAACATAAAGTGGATTTAGTGATCCAAGCTTTCTCCTCCAGTAGCAATGGAATGATTGCATGTTTCATTTGCCAGACACTGAGTACTGATGCACATTACAATCTGCATAGCATCTAAGCATAGTAAGCATAGTAAAACTGCCCAAGTCCATTCATTCTAGATTTTAACTTGATAGTTAGCACTAATTTATCTTGCTGCTGTAAGTTACCATTCAATATTCATACCAATACATCAATATGCGCTCATCAGTCAACATTTTCTGGCATGATCCTGCTCAGCGTGCTCTTCAGTATTGCTCCAAGGTCTGCAATATTATAGCTCGTTTTTGGACAATAAGCTCTTTTAATTTTACTTTTTCTTGCTTATATATGAGCCCGATCAACTTGCGTTTATCAACCGAAATTTCACAACTTGTTCAACTTGATATTGATATTGCTCAGTAGTCAGGACCTCTGTCAGCCTCCTGGATACTTCAGATTGTTTTCAGTCAACATGCTTCTTAAATATGATATAAGTCAATCTTAAGGGATTCAAAACATCCAACAAAACGATGTACCTACAAGAGCAAGAAAACCACCAGATAAACTAAAAAATGGCCTTGGAACAGAGCCAAGTTGTGTGCTCCATTTGTTTGTTTACAATGATTGTAGTGCTGGTGTATTTTTAGGACTCTGAACGTCGGCTATATAAAAAATGAAACGTTTTTACAAAAGTTGTAAGGCAAGTAATATTTATCTGAAAGAACTAAAATATTCAAAAGCCAAACACTATGAAATACATGAATCGGAACGAAAAAGTAACCCAAAAGTCCAGCCTAATCACCGGCTCCTAAAACTGCAACACAATCAGCACTTTTCCCCGCAACTCGTTGTCCAGACGTAAATATGCCTCGAGACAAGCACCGCTGTTCGGCACGACAGGCCGAGTTCTGGCGTACCTTTCCGTATCCGTGTGAAGCGCGCGGTGCGCCGGCCACATAGTAGGTGTGTCCGTCGTCCTTGAACTCGCCGGAGCTCACCGAGTAGCCTGCCAGAGAGATGCAGTTAAAACGTGAAGCTCCTCGTTTCCTAACACGATTCTTCCGAAATATACAGCATTGTGCATACACCAAACGAATAAATCATCAACCCCTAAGAGTAACAACCTCTGCAGTATTAAATCTTTTAAGAACCTAAGCACGCTGAAATCTCCTTCACTGAAAAATGCCCCCGACATCTGTGAATCCTGTTTGTCTGGGGAAGTACCTACATAATGCATATGCACAAAGTTGCACTTCACTTCCGGTGGCACGGACAACCCAGTTCACCACGGAATGTCCATACGACGCAATGAAGGGAAACTTTCCATAAACAGCTCAGATATCGGCAAGTGATGACATAGCTATTCGGGAACACAAAGTCACATCGCTGGTGAGTTCCTATTCCACCACAAGGCAGTGAGCACATAGCGATTCCAGAACGTGATATCGCATCACGGGTGAGCTTCACTTCCACAAGGAAGGCCCACCGCAGTCAAAACACAATTGATTCATAGTAACCGCATGGAACACATGCCTAATGGGACATGCGCCCGCGCCTCCGCAACACCCACTCAGCCATGAGTCATGGCATGACTGAGCATAACAGAGCGTCCGAACGAAGAGGACTATGGAAGGTCTTCCTAACCTTGAGTGGGAACGGCCGAGATGACTGCATCATAAACGGGGGATGACAGGCAATACCTATTTGCTGACACACAGCGTTCGGCAGCGTGCCTTATTTGGAGGACAGACGGTTCGATTGGACAACTGGCGAGCACTTCTTCCAGCCCGCCCCCTAGATGCCAATGACGATATCTATGATATCATCCAGTCAGATGCGTCAGTCCGATTTATCCCATCAGAATCTTCAGGCAAACTCGGGGCAGAATCGAACGGTCCATCAACCATTCCCTGTGGTCTTGACACACTCCACTACAAACACCTCAGCAACCCTCCATAAATCAGCACACACTTAGCTCCGGTCTAGTGAGCTCCCACCCGACAATCACACACCCCACCTCCCTCCATCCCACACGACTGCCTCCCCGTCCCGTCCCGTTTCTCACCAAAGTAGTCATTCTCCTCCAGCTCCTCTGTAAAGAGCGAGTTGAGGATACGCGGCACGCTGAGCGCTTGGTAGTAGTCGGCCTGCCTCCTCCTCCGCCGGCGCTGGTTTCCACCCACGTTCAGGTCGGTGTCACCAGAGAGACGCACCACCGATCCCTTCCAGTTGTATACGCCCGGCGCGCCGAGCAGCAGCTCCGTGCCGTTCTGAGGGTGGAGATAGACGGGGGTTAGAAGGGGAGTTAAAAGGGAGTTAGAAGGGGAGTCAGGAGGGACGTGAGGAGGGAGTTAGAAGGGAAGATTGAGAGTCAGTTAGAGAGGGCATTGGGCAGCTGGAAGAGATGTTGGTGTGTTCGGTAGGAGTGTGGGATCAGTAAAAAGATCACATGTTCACATGCTAGTTGCGACTCGTGTCTGGATATATAGCACAGATATCATCAAGTGCTGTTTCTTTTACAAACGACATTGTTACTTCTGTACACCTGCTTATTGCACGATCGAACACAAGATATAATAATCGTTTAAGACCTTAAAAGTCTTTCACACGTTGTCTACAACACTCTGGATCTGATAATTTGTCAGGATACGGCCCTGGCAGCAGTCATTGTCCGATCTGCTGTAAGGGGTCACAAGGGATGACGAAAACAAACACTAAGTCTCGTCTGATGCATCACATTTCTGAGAAGTTGGCCTGTATGGACAGTGCAGAAGATCTCATCTTCATTAAATCAGAGTCGGCTGTCGTCCTGCAAACCCAGTACGGCCAGCAAAACAAGCTCCCTGATAAGACAAAACAAATGACCGGCATCACTCACACAAACGAACTCGGGGCTGCAGACCGAGCTCCACCCATCGATCCCACTGTTTCTTCGTCCTCTACACCCGAGAGAGGCATCCACACACCCTCCCCGGCCTTCAGAAAGAAGTGCGTTGATCCCCAATCCAGGGGGGGGGGGGCAGTCCACTGTGACAGCCCACTGTTTCTCGGCCCATGTTACTTAGTGCAAAGCCGCGCGGTCCCTCAGTGCGCTATCGTTCAGAGCATGTTCACAGTCAGACAGAGCACCTAGCCTCACGTCAAGTTAACCATGCGCCAGCTTGAAGGTGATGCCAGCGGCGGTTAGCACCTGAATATGGTTGGTCACAGCGGCGCGGGTGACGCCCTGAGGCACACGTGCCTCAAAGAGAGTGACATGTAAGGCCGGGGACGGCGCTGTCCCAGCTTTGACGGGAACCGGTGCCGAGTGCTGGTGCAAAATATTTGAGAAAATGCAAAGCAATGATGCCGTTAAAGCTTTGATGGTAACACGGGAATCACCGATATATGCAGCTGTTAAGTAGTATAATAATCGTAGAGTGGTAGCATTGTAGTGTCCACGGACACATGCCTATAGAACACTGTCAAAAGCTTACTGTTGAAGCTGATTTTTTTCAAGTCAAACAAATACCATATTCAAGACTAAAGCAACAGCTTAGAGCGTAAGCAGCCTCGCCTTGCATGAAATGCAGGAAACTGATAACATTAGCGACTTGTCACGAAGTATGACAGGGCATTTGTCACCTCGAAGCATGTGTCAGGAACGTAAGTACCAGCTAAAACTCGCAGGAAATATAGCACCCGACATCCAGCGGCGGGAAGCACAAACATGGTACTGCGGTGTTTGACTGACGTCATAGCAAATTATGAAATCGTTGCAAGTCAAAGCGGGTGACAAGAAACGTTGATAGCGCACAACGCATGATTCAGAGCACGTTTAGAAAACAATCACTACTAAGACCGCTAACCTAGCACAGATTCAACACCCAGCGTCCTCCCAGCTTCAGCAGCTCGTCTCTCACCTTATCCCTCATTCTCACCTTGGCGAAGTGGACCGAGATGCCGGCCTGACCGTAGGCGTACTGGTGGATGTTCTCCTTGTTTCCGCCCCGCCGCAGCATCTGTTTGCCTGTAACGGGTCGGGCTTGTCTCAGAGGTGATGGCAAAAACGAACATGTCGCGGGCCCGAGTACGGCCGGGGGAGACGAACCATTGGTAGTCTGGGTCGCAGCTATGATGACAACCGGTGCCACTGTGGCTCTTACGCTAATGGAAATATACATAAGCGAATGTCCTCAATATTTCGAAGTGAGATTTCGTGTCGCATCACTTTCCTTTGTCTTGGTGGCTAGAATCTTGATTCCAGGGGACTAAGGCTTGGTTCAATTCAAAGATTACAGCGGTTCTTCTGCATAAACATACTGTGTTCTTATCGTGCAATTATTCGTTACATTGATATGCACTGACATAATTGATTAACATAATCAATTCGTCATCTTTATCCAAATATACCCATTTAAACTTTGACATCGTCATCCTGTATCTAAAATGGCATAGGCATACAGACCGCGAACAAAACCCAATTCAACATAAATTTGGAACCATAGAACAGAATCGATACTGCAAACGATGTAGGTTTGTATCTAAATAGATCAGTACCGCAATTGACAGTAAGGTTTCTTGCAAAGCTATCCTTACCCACATCTCAATGATCAAGCGCTAGTGAGAGCCCCAGCCGCTGCACCAGCCCTCTCAGCCGCTCCTCTGGCCGTCCCCGACTGCACCTACCGCTGTAGGCGAGTGGCACCACCTTGGTGGCGTTGTAATCGGCCGCGCCGGCCTCCATCCAGTAGCACACGCCGTTGCCGTAGTGGTGGTTCTTGGATATCTGGTTCATCCACCGGGGGCCGCATACCTGAAAAAGACGCATCAGTCAGCACGCCATACGACGTAACAGCACGGAACGGAAGCGGGGCTACTGAATGACAGTGTTTGCAGGGCGTCGCGGGCCACTCATTAGCTTGGAAAACGTGCGCTTTAGCGCAAAAGAAACGTCAGGCGTCGGCTTGTGTAAGAGATGCGGTGCAGACGCGCATTGCATACAGTTGGGACTTGAGAGAACCTACGACAGCACATGGATATGATGAGCGCTACAGTACATACAAAAGGCGCGTTCGGTCAGTAATAATGAAAGTATAGACGCGACAACCAAAAAATAGGGACGGACTGGATAGAGGATGTGCCTCCAACATTTCCAAGTCTAACAGCGGGGACAGTGCGACGGCGAAGCGGGTTCCTTCAACAGTTGGCCTTGATGGGACGAGCCTCGGATCGTTTCACGTATGCCGGGATTCACTGGCAAACAAGTGATTCCTAGCCGCTGTCAGTCAAATATTTCAATAACGCAGACCGACCGTTCCTCGAGCGCTGGTAGCGACTTTGTCCGTTCGGTATTTATCCGACCAGCAAGGGAAACCCGTTTGCTATTTGCTTCACCGACACTACATAGTTAAGATTAGTGCAACATGGTGGAACAAAAATAGAATAAGTATTCCGGATGTAATCGTCCGTAAAGAAGGTGTAGGTAAATTGGATTACATGTACCTACAACATACCAATGAAGGTTCCTTTCAACAATAAAGGCTGCTTACAAAAAAGGATTGTATTTCCGACGATACACCAAACCATTTCGCAGCAGATCGTAAAAAAAAACTTGAGACATCAACATTAGCAGGATCCAGGAGCACGAGCAAAACAAATGCCTCACAGTCTCGTGGGTCTCGCGTACTGTGCAAGCTGCGGCAATCATCACCCGTCCCATATCTCAATCTCGGCCCGGCGTTCCCGCCGCCTCACCCAATTGGACCACCACCACGGCGTTGGGAGAAAGCCGGGGGCGGCACTCATCGCAGCCTCTCTGCCGGTCCTGGACCGACCTCCTGCACCGCTCACAGTGTTTACGCGCCTCACCGCCGTCAAAGAGAGGCCATCTTAGCACCGAGCCAGAGAACACGCGGCGAAATCTGACCCCGCGGCGGCGCGTATCGCACCCTATTCACGATAGCGGCGCGGCACCTGTGATTGCCGACGGGGTCGCCAGGTCACGGCGGACGGCCCTCGTTAACCGTGTGTCACGGATGGTCCCGGGCCCGGAATGGCTCCGAGACTGCTAATGAAAGCGTCATTGGAGGCGGCGGCTCGGAGAGCAGAGAGGAAAGGGGGACCACACGCGGCAGGTGCTGGGCGGTTAGCCCGTGGAAAGCGGCGCCGAACCCGTCACTGCCGGCGTATGGTGCCGCTCGTGCTCAAAAAGTTATCAGCATTCAGCAGCTTGTGTCGACTGGATTTTCCTTCTGGCTACCAGAATAATAAGCAGACAAATACCCGACTTTTAGTGTCAGCTTTCCGCTAATCGGTGTCAGCTTGTTTTGCAATGTCGCGCGATAACAATAGACAAACAGTGGATTTGTTGCAGTTCAGGATTTCCTGTTCGGCCAGACCGCTAGGCGACCTCCTCCGAGCTACGGCACTCATTTCATCTATGATTCATCACCTAACTTAGGATGACGACATAAAACAAGCGCCCGACAAAAGAAATTGAACTACGGCATGATTTAACTGTTAAATGCATTGACTGAGGAGCGCAGACAGTCAAACGTCGTCCATGGGTCGTCAAATGCAGACGGCACGCCCAAGAATCCATCGCGTCACGCTGTCCACAAAACACACAGACTTCACCAGCTGTCGATTATGAACGTGGCACCATGCGATCTGAGCTATCACATGTCCACCACCTTCCCCGAACGACAGGATGACCGTTTTTACACCCTGCTGAGCAGCACTCAGACTCACATCCGACAATTCCAGTTGACAGGCAGCATGCCGTTCCGATCAACCAGCTTTTTTGGTCCACGGCGCTCGATCCACGTTGTGCAATATGCCGGCGTGCACGTGACACGTGTGTGACGCGTGCGGCGATCTCGAGTGACTGGCTGCCAATCGCGCGCCGCCGGCGTCTGATCAGCGCGTCTGGCCACCCATTAGCGCCAGTTGGCTTCGAGGACAGATGAGTTCCCGCAGCTGGTGGGAGCCGAGCAGAGCCGGTCCGGAAGGGATGAGTCGTGCGCCGACTGGCCACGCTCCCGCATCAGTCACGTCCGGCGCGGAAAAGATGTGGACTCAGGATTGAAGACATCTGAATTAGGAAATAGATCGTGATAAATGACGGTTAATTGGGAACGTGACATCTATAATCGGCAGGCTGGAGTTCTGTCAGTGTCTCGAGCTCCTACAGTACGTCTCTCTTAGGCTGCAGCGGCAATGCAACTGCGCAACGCGCATCTCGCGTGACCTGTCTTCACCTGGCATCTGAGAGACGCCGCTCCACGCCGCGCCCCGTGGGGCCGGTCACGCGCGCCGCGGCGCTCCCGGCGCAGCGCGGCAGGTGTGGCGCCCCGGCGACAAATGCGCCGCTCATTTCACGCCGCTCGCCGTGATTTGTGCCCGCTGCGCCGGCGCGTGTTCCCCGTAAAAGGCGTCTCTCATCCCCCGCGGGGCAGCAGCGAGCTGTTTATCTACCGCTCTCTTGACGCCATTGAGCGCACACAAAAACGATCCAACGAGCCTTCATGAGCCGTCCCGCCGGCAGCGAGACGGTACCGTATCATTCCCTTTATCCACGTTGATTTCTGATCGGCTCCGCTCTACATAAAACCACCGGACGGCAGGTGAAAAGCCACACACGCGCCGGTATTCACGGCACTAACCGACCTGCCGCTGCCTGTCCGACGCTGCCGTATCAATCAGTCGTTTTTGCCGTCGGTCGTGCACAAAGGCCCACCGGGCCGGCCGCGCTCGGCGCTGGCGGCATTAACCCCATTGTGAGCGATCGGTCTGTGCGATAACTTCCGGGCCAAGTGCGCGGCCTTGGGGCAGCGCCGGGGTCACGGCGGCGGGTCCGGTGCGCCGGGGACGGGAAGGGGTTGACGTCAGGGCCGGCAGTGCATCTCCTGGGTAAGGTGTGCAGGAAAAACAACGCCAGAGTCAAGGCGAACCCCGATGGTAAGAAGCGGCCTCGTCGCTAGCAGTCGGGCAGACGGGGTCGAGGCGACACGACACGGAACGAGGCGGAACACCGGACTGAGATCCACACCGTTTGGCTAGACGGAGCTCGCGCTGTCACAGGGATTGACAGCCATAAGGTCAGATCGTCTGCGGAAGTATTCATGCATGGGGTCAGATCGCAAGGAAACCAACAGCAAGATATCTCTCATTGTTGTGTTACTAAGAATTTAAGAAACTATGAAACAAGTGTGCCCGATTGTCTGAACTCTCGGCCCGGTAACATACGAACGTGAGAAAAGGCTTCATAATGATCAACTGGGCTATTACAAGAACGTCTTTCACGCCAGCAGGACAGCAGTTGAATACAGATAAGTTAATTAGTGGTTATCTATTCAATTTCACCTTAAATCTAGCTGCGTGGTGTGCGGCTCAACGAGACTGCAAGCCCGAAATACCCTGGGAAAGAAACCGAAAGCGGCGAAAATTAGCCTTGCACCGAGACTCACGCAATGACCGGCGCTATCTCACCTACAGTATCTATTCAGCCTGCTCAGGCCCGCCGTGCAGGCCGGCTAAAGCCGCACACACGGCGCCCATACAGGCCGGGTCACGAAGCGGGACAGGCTGCGGCGTTACGGGGCGAAAGGACCCCTCTTGCCCCGCCCCGTCGGTTGACGGTGCACGAAGGTCGTTTGGCATCGTACGGTTCGACACGCGCTCACAGGTGACGACACGCCATGAAAAGGGCGTCATTACCTTTTTGCACTGCACCTAATCGTGCGGCATGCACTGAAAAGCGTGCGCGGGCATATACTTATGCAGAATAGGCACGTTCAAGCATTTCAGCGGCTAGTGACAGTATCTACGCGAGACGAAAAAACAGTAGAAATGGGTTCGTGATTATGCTGTAAATCGGTTAAGACATATGGCACTGTGACATCATGCATTGATGCGTCAATGCCCTATCCAAGACATTTCTGATTCGTCACTGTCAAAACTGTCACCTCAAGCACGCCGTGAGTCTGGGGCCCATCCTCGGCGTCTCATCACTCTGCTTCAGTCTGACCAAATACGGGTCATGACCGGCCGTCTGTATTCACCGCCCGGTGCTGTTACGGCAGACAGTTCAGTGTATCACAGTCGGACGCCGCTGTAGCCTCACGCCGTCTCACAGAGGGGTATAGTTGATGTGTGGACGGGTAGACTCGCCCTGTCTGACAGCCTGTATGAGGCAGACGGCGCCGGGCGCGTGGCGATGACGGCAGATAGCGCTCCAAGAGCCCGTCCAAGCGGCGCGGAGCTGAGTCACCGGCAACAGGACGTGCCGCGTCCGTCAGCGTGGATCGCGCCTCCCGCTGTGCGCCCGCCGAGTCTCCACCCTAGGGCGTGGAACCTCTCCGTCCCTCTCTCTGGGCGGCGGCACCGCCGGACAGAGGAAATGTGCACTCCATCGCCGACCACAGGACATTAATTACCTCTACATTGCCTGCAGATGTTGGTGTGGGGCGTCACCGCAACTCCGTGCATTCCTCGAATACGATTCAACAATCGCGCGACGGGACATCACATTCCAAACTATCCGTGCAAAACCGTCCCTTGCTTCGGCCTATTGTCCAGAGTAGTCCCTAAAAACGCATACCTTTGTCCGCAGTCCATTAATCTCCCTATCCCCTTTTTCACGCACTCACACCCGAGACCCTGACCGGCGCCGACTGCCGTGTGCCCAGGGTCACGGTGCTCCGTGCGCACCCGCCTCACGCCCCGGTCTCGTTAGCTCCGGCTGACGTGACCACGCCGGACCCGGACCCGCGGGTATAGGATAGGACCAGCAGTAATTAATTAACGAAGGTG